TATCATCAGTTACCATTAAACCTTTAAAGAGTAATGAAGTTGAGCATTGATAAATTTGGAGGTTATTTAGGTTATACAAGTAAAGATAGGTTACCTCCTGGGCTTCCAGGTGTAGGGTATAATTTGACACCTTCCAACGACTATGACATTGGTAAGAAACGTCTTACGAATATTGGTCTAGCAATAGATTCTAATGATGCTGTGAACATAGATTATGTTAAATCAAATTGTCTCATTTTAGAAAAAAATGAAGTTAACTTAAGAAAAAGGAAGTTAGCTGATGTAGCTGATCCAGAATTGGATACTGATGTGGTAAACAAACAATATTTAAAAAATAGGATTAACAAGGGTTTGGAAAATTGTGTCACATTTAATATTGTAACAAATACAATTAACTGTAAGAATAGTAGAATAACGAATGTATCTAACCCTATCAGTGAAAATGACGCTATTACATTAAGATACCTAAAATCGCATTGTTTAGAACATGAAAATGGTCATTTTAATGCAAAAAAATTTAAAATTACAAATATTGCTGAGCCGGAGGAATCGACCGATGCAGTTACAAAACAGTTTACTGAAAAATATACGACTCAACAAATAAATGATAAATGTCTAGTATTTGGTGTTGATGAGATTGATTGTAAAAACTATAAGCTAAATAACTTCAAGATTGTGAATATTCCAACAAATAGTTTTCATGCAATTAACAAATTATACTTTGATAAGGAGATTCTAAACTTTGATAATATCATTAGTGGGAAACTCCAATCGTTTATAAAACTAGAAAAAGGTGAAGTAAATTTAAAAAATTATAAGGTTATTATAAATGGTGCTGAAAATGAAGAATCACCAGTTAATCTGAAACAAGTTAATTTATTATTAGGAAAGTATATTTTTATCAATGATAAGAATGAAATAAATATAAATAATGTATACCTACGGAACGTTAAAAAACCTATAGAAACACATGATGCTGCAAATAAGGAGTATGTAGATCAAGCTGTACGAAGTAATAATACAACCTTAGTTAATGTTATAATTAAGGATTTACTAACAGGTTTTGTAAAGCCAGATGAGAATAACGTTATTGATTTAAAAAAATTAAATATAAAACTAGTTGTTAATATGAGTGATAATGATAATTCACCTGTAATTAATAGACAGTTTACTGCTTTTAAAAACAGAATAGCTTCAGAAATGTCTAGAATAGATGAAAAGCTCAATGTATTCTACCCTTCGCCAACATCACGTGCGAGATCGGGAGATAAAACTGGTAAGCCATTATCAGATGTGATTAATTTGATGGCTAATGAGTTAACTAATTTAAGATCTGAAATAAGAAAATTAAAAGAATCTAAATCGACTGAAGATGATGATAAGGATGATTTTTGGGATAGGGTGAATAAATTGGATAGTAAGTAAAAACTGTTTATCAGTATGGTCTTAGACTTCAAGCGAGGAGGTGGTCTGCTAAACAAATTAATTAATAGTCTACCATTCGAATTTCATATACCCGGCTATCGGTTTTGTGGTCCAGGGACTAAATTGGAAAAACGTTTAAAAAGAGGTGATGTAGGTATTAACCCACTAGACAATTACTGTAAGGATCACGATATTGCTTATGCTGAGAATAAGGATTTGAAAAGTAGACATACGGCTGATAGGATATTAGCAGAGAGAGCTTGGACGCGAGTATCGGCTCCAGACGCTAAGGCAGGTGAAAAGGTTGCTGCGTACGCAGTTACGAACGCAATGAAAGCAAAGGTAAAACTAGGTGCGGGAATGAAAAGAGTGAAGAAAAATACACCTAATGGTAAAAAAACTAAAATAGTTAAAGGTATGAAGAAAAAAGGTTTGAAGGCACAAAAGAAAAAACATCTTCGAGATGCTATAAGAGCAGCTAAAAACGTCCTCAAGAAAAGCAAGAGCAAAGAGTTAAAAGTGTTGGTACCTGCAGTTTTAAAAGCCGCAAGAAAAGCAGTTAAGGGTAATAAAAAAGATAATATAAAAAACCCAGGATTATTCCAATTCCAAAGTCTGGAGGAGCTCTACCATTTCTATTACCACTATTTGCAGGATTGTCTGCAGTAGGAAGTCTAGCTGGAGGAGCAGCTTCCGTATATAAAGCTATCAATGAAGTGAGACGTGCAAAAAAGGAAAATGTAAATGATGTTAAAATTCATAAAGGTAAGGGGTTGTACTTAAGACCTTACAAGCAAGGAATGGGAATTTTTTTAGACCAAACGCACTAAGTAACTTTGACATTGAGAAATATGCCAAAATATTAAAAATCCCAAATGTTAGAGGTGTGTTCGCAAAAGACAATCTGCCTACGTCTCCGTGGGAAAAAGAAGCAGTTATAATTAACTTGGACAACGATGATGGACCTGGGACCCATTGGGTTGCTCTACGCAAAACTGGACTACAAGTTAAATACTATGACAGTTTTGGAAATTTAAAACCTCCATTAGAAGTAATCAAGTATTTAAAAAATTGTGTAATATTGTATAATTATAACAGAGAACAAAACTATAATACTAAAATTTGTGGTCATTTATGTTTAAAATTTCTTTGCGAATATAAGTAAATATTACTAATTAATTGTGTTAGTGTTTATTAGTTCCTCAACCCGATAACATGTCGCACCTATTTGTATTAACTGGAAAAGGTCCCATTTTAAGTTGTGAAATTTTCCCAAAAACTGAATTAAAAAGTGAACATGAATATGTTTTAGGATTAATTAATTTTGAAACCTTTAATTCCATCCCAAATGTTGAAGAGGGGTGTAATAAGTTTTATTATATCAACAATGAAGGATCTCAAGTTGGTATAAAAATACCTACAGGTTCATATGAAATTGCGGATTTACAAAAGTATTTAAGAAAAATATTTAATGATAAAAGAGGTGAAACTGAAACAGACATTGAAGGTGCATCCCCTAGTTTTAAAAGTGCTTATAATATAAAACATAACGTTCTCATTACAATACAGTCAAACAATAATACCTTAAAAAGTGAAATAAAATGTTCAAAGGATATTGATTTTACTCCTTCCGACTCAATTGGACCTTTACTAGGTTTCAAAAATAGAAAGTTGAGCAAATTTCAAAGTCATATTTCAGATGATACTGTTAACATCCTTAAGGTTAATACTATAAATCTTGAATTAAATATAGTAACATCCTCATTCGTTAATGGGAAACCGAGTCACGTGATTCATACATTTTTCCCTACTGTACCACCCGGTTTTAAAATTGTTGAAACACCTGCTAATATTATCTACCTCCCAATTAATACAAGGTCAATTGACCATTTATCTCTTAAAATAACAGATCAAAACGGAAAACCTATCAATTTCCGTGACGAGAGCATCACAGTAACACTACATCTCAAAAGCTTGTAACCATGCCGATGATCTATCTCCCCATCAAAAACACGTCTTACATGAAGATTGGTGGCATTACTACACCAGCCTCCGTAAAGAAAGGTTCTCCACCGAAACGAGGTTCTCTTACTAAGATCAACAAAGAATTTTTACTCTCATTAGGATTTAAGATAAAAAATGGCTGGTAATATATTACAAGTAAAAGAAAAAATTTATTTTGATGAATCAATAAATAAAATTGAAATTCACTCTCATCAGCCTTATGCTAATTCGTCATTTAAAAATAATGATGAAATTAGAATACCAATTCAACACCAGGATATATATACATATCCTTGTAATAGTACACTTTATATTGAAGGTGAAGTTACGGCTACAAATACTAAATTTATAAATAATGGATTTTTATTTTTATTTGATGAGATAAGATATGAAATTGGTGGTGTGGAAATCGATAGAGTAAAAAATGTTGGAATAACAAGCACGATGAAAGGTTACCTTTCATTTAGTGAAAGTGATGTGAAAATGTTAACTAATGCAGGTTGGACTAATGAAAAGGATGGTTTATTATCTCTTAAAGAAGATACTCAAAAACGTGGTACATACTACTTTAATGTTTGTATTCCTTTAAAAACACTATTAGGATTTGCTGAGGACTATAATAAAATTATACTAAATATAAAACAAGAACTCATTTTAATAAGATCGAGGACGGATCTTAATGCCATATTTGGAACAACCACCACTACGGGTGCTGGTGCTACAGCTACAAGCGTCGAACCCAATGCGGATATAAATATTAAGAAGATTCAATGGCGAGTGCCTTATGTGTATCCATCAGACAGCGAAAAGATTTCTTTGCTAAAAGTTATAGACAAAAATCAATCGGTCTATGTTAATTTTAGAACGTGGGAACTTTATGAATACCCCTTATTACCCGAATCGACCAGACACACATGGAGTGTTAAAACATCAACCCAATTGGAAAAACCTAGATATGTTATATTAGCATTTCAGACGGACCGTTCAAGCAATATTAAAAAACACATGAGTCGCTTTGATATATGTGATATTTCAAATGTAAAACTTTATTTGAATTCCGAATGTTACCCATATGATGATATGAATTTAGATCCGTCAAAAAACCATCTAGCAATTCTTTATGAAATGTATATCAAATTTCAAGAAAACTACTATTTTAAAAAGGGTGAGCCATTATTTTCATTTAATGACTATATCAATTATGCTCCCTTAGTAGTTATTGATTGTACAAGGCAGAATGAGTCTATTAAGTCCGGCCCTGTTGACATAAGGTTGGAATTTGAATCAAAAAATACAATGCCGGCAAACACAACAGCTTATTGTATGATCCTCCATGATAGAGTTATAGAATATAACCCAATGACAAGTATTGTTAAAAGATTGGTTTAGGAAGTGTTTAGGAAGTCATACCGTTTAAGGTTAAAGGGTCAACAGGTTATGAGCTCATAGATCATCATGATTAACTCGTAAGGTCATCAGGTCACGGGTATAAAAACAACAATTTTCTTCCGTTAGCTCATTTCTACTTTAGTCGTCAACAAGATGTCAGACAGAAAGGTCATTTGTGATATTCAAGGTTTTCGTGGTTTCCGAAATGAATTCATCATAAAGGAAGCAGCATTTCTCTCTTCTTCTGGAAGCAAGGTGCAGTCGCTGGTTTTCAAGCCTCCATACCCTCTCACAGCTCTACCTGAAACACAACAAAAGGTTGCATCATGGGTAAAACACTTTTACCACGGAATGGATTGGAATGATGGATACGTCCCATACCATGAAATGAAGAACGTTTTTAATAAGATTTTCGAAAACTATGACTCTATTTATGTTAAAGGGTCGGAAAAACTAAGTGTTATTAAAGGTATTTTAACGGACCAGAATAAACACGTTTTTGATATGGACACAATCTTTTGTCCTCGAATTAACGAATTAAAAAAACAAACACGTTTCAGAAAATGCTTTTATCACATGCAAAAAACAGATCAGTGTGCTAGTGAAAATGTTCGATTGCTTCTACACTGGTATACGGATAATATTTTGAAAAAGTCCGCACTTTTACAAACCGAAGAAAGTGTCATAAGAAAAATTGGTGAAATAATTGGTAAATTCAATAAACGTGATGAATATGGGAATCCATCATTGACAAATCTGCACATACCGGAAATATCATATCTCCCAAAAGAGTATATAGTCCATCATGTATCACTGCCCGACCTCCAGTATGTGTGGGACTTTCTTCCGAGCTGCACGAAGAATAAACTGAAGGATCTCATCTATTGTACCGGTCACCATAATCAACCCAAAGACGCGGACCACATTGACGGACCACCGCCGAAGAAGGAGCATTGCCAACTATGTATGCAGCAGAACTAGAACTTTTTATCTCCGGAGATCCACATATTACTCAGCATTTTAATGGGATATTTGACGCAAGAGTAAATCTACATCGTTTCATCAAATATCCGAGTTCATATATTTTTAATACTGGAAAGCATTGGGTTGCAGTATTTATTGACCAATTTCATTACGGGGAATATTTTGATAGCTACGGCCTACCTCCTCCTTACAAGATCTTTTTGTTTCTTGAACACTTTTGTACGAAATGGGATTATAACCATGTGAGAGTGCAAAGTGAGTTTTCCAATATTTCCGGAAAATGTGTATTATTATACTTGAAACTCCGCTCATCAAATCAAGAAACTGGCGACTTCATTTACAAACTTAACCACCATACCGAAGAAGATAAAGACATTTATATTGAAAAATTGTTTTTTAATAGTTTTGGTAGTTCAAAAATAAACTCTGTAAAACTTACTATGGAAAAAATGAAATTGTTATATTGTAGAATGGAAAACAGGACCATGTGGAAATAAACAGTTTTGATTATATCCTCTTCTTTCATTTATACCTTACTATTGTTAAGTTAGCATAAGTTAGTATTTTTAATGCATTATCATCATTTCGTAACAAGACTTCAAGCTAGAAGGTTGCCATAACTTACAAATTTGAAAATGAAAATATTAAAACAAAAACAAAAAATTAATATTGAAAGTTTTGATTGGAAACATACATCTTCCAGACAAAGGCATAGTAATCTCCTCCCTAACTCTATTAGGTGTATAATTGCAGGGCCATCATCCTGTGGTAAAACTGCAGTATTATTAAGTCTGGTTACTGACCCAAACGGGTTAAGGTTTGAAAATATTTACATCTATTCAAAATCATTATATCAACCAAAATATAAATTTTTAGAAAATGTTTTAAATAAAGTTAAAGGTGTTGGCTATTATAAATATTCAGAAAACGAGGAAGTAATTAAACCATGTGATGCTAAGAAAAACTCAATATTCATATTTGATGACATAATATGTGATAAGCAAAACAATGTAAGTGCTTTTTTTAGTATGGGTCGACATAAAGATGTTGACTGTTTTTATCTTTGCCAATCATACACCCGAGTGCCAAAACAGTTAATAAGAGATAATGCAAATATGCTAATTATTTTTAAGCAAGATAGTAACAACCTCAAACATATTTTTAACAATCATGTTAACCCAGACATGACATTTGAGGAATTTCAAAAAATGTGTCAAAACTGTTGGAAAGAAAAATATGGCTTTCTTGTTATCGATAAGGAAAGTGATTTAAAAAATGGGAGGTATCGTAATGGTTTTGATAAATTTATTATAATGGAATAAAAGTGAGAATATCAAACAGTTTACATTCATCTCTAGATGAGTATGGACATCAAGAGGGAGTTAATTAAAACTAGCAATGCTGTTAGAAAAAAATATTTAGCTTTAAAAAGGGGTACCATCAATGATGAAGAAATATTTAAAAAGAAATTCAAACCAATAGTTGAACCAATTACAGAAATTGTAAAAGATATCAAAGAAAAAAATAAAAAAAGAAAATTGAGAAAAGCATTTTTAAAAACAAAAAAGGATGATGGTGAAACTGATTATTTGTTACCACCGGACAACCAAGAAGATGCTGACAAAGAAAGTTTAGCTCACAGTGTTGAACAAATATCAGAGGAATCAGAGTCTGAAAGTGAAAGTAATGAATCATTTAATGATTATTTAGAAAAATCTACTAAGAATGTGAAAAATGAGATGGATCATACATACGGAGTCTATTTAGGAGAAGATGGTAAATGGATGATTGGTAACAGTAAAATAAGATATTCTCCATCAGATAATATCATAAAAATTAATAACTCAAGTTTTAAACCTACTAAAGGATTGTTAGAGTTGATGTTTAAAAAGAAACCAAATAAATCACTTATCACGAAAAATGATTTGGACTCTTATAAAGAAATTTTGATGCTCACAAATGCGCACTTAGTCAAATACACCGATGGTGAGAGGATTCAAGCGACAAACACATTAAAATATCTAAATTATATAAAAAGCTTATTCAAAAGAGGAAGTGGTTTAAAAACACCATACATAAAACTTGATAGTTATCCATGCGCTCCAGACTATGTCCATTATAATGATATAAATGAAATAGTAGAAAGATTGCGAATACTAAAAGCATCTGAGGCAGCTGGTAATAACAGTCATAATAACGAAATAGTTAATATTATTTCAGAACTTAAAGATAGTGGAGTTATATATTAAGTAAGATGGGTGTTAAGGAAGATATTGCAAATGAACTACATAAACCAGTGAGAAAAAACTTCATTAGACGTAAAGTAGTTGTAAAGGGATATGATAATCATTGGCAATGTGATTTAATTGATATGACTAAATATGCTAAATTTAACAAAGGCTTCAAATACATCCTTACAATAATTGATGTATTTTCTAAATATGCCTGGTCAAAACCATTAAAAACCAAAACAGGAAAGGAAATTACTTTAGCTATGGAAGAGGTTTTTAAACAGGGTAGATTTCCAAAAAATATTCAGTCTGACTTAGGAACTGAATTTTATAATGATATATTCAAAAAATTAATGATAAAATATAAAATAAATCATTATTCTACATTTAGCAATTTAAAAGCTAGTGTGGTTGAGCGTTTTAACCGCACTTTAAAGAATATAATGTGGAAACAATTTACAATAAATGGTAATTACAACTGGATCAATATACTTCAAACATTGATGAAGTTCTACAATACAAAAAAACACTCTACCATCAAAATGAAACCTTGTGATGTTACGAAAAAGTATGAAAGTGAATTACTTCAAACAGTTTACTCGTACGATCGGTCAAAGCTTAAAAGCAAACAAAAATTTGATATTGATGATTTTGTACGAATAAGCAAGTATAAAAGTGAATTTTCAAAAGGGTATACTCCAAACTATTCAACTGAAATATTCCGTATCATTCAAGTACAACTAACAGATCCCATCACTTACAAACTTGTGGATGCAGAAAATCAACCAATATCTGGAGGATTCTATCAAGAGGAGTTAACAAAGGTAAAACATAGTGATACATACCTGATCGAAAAAGTCATCAAGAAAAAAGACAATAAGGTTCTTGTAAAGTGGTTAGGTTTTCCGTCTAGTAAAAACTCATGGATAAGTAAAGATGATGTTATTTAAAATTAAACATTGTAATACAATTTTAAATACTAAATAAATAATACTTTATACTTTTAAAGTTTGTTTTTACTAACACCCATATATTCTTTTATCATAACCAATATTTTGAATGTAAAAAAAATAAACTATATTAATTTACTCACCTTTATATATTGTGGAATCGAACCCGGACCGCCAGTTTGGAAGCCTGAAGCGATGACCACTACACCACCCCGCCGAGAGTTTTAGCTTATCCACAAAAAACTATTAAATTACTTTTTGATAATACACTTTTAAAACATATAATAGGATAGTTACCCGAACAATAACATGCATTAATCATCACCTTTAACAACCTTTAATAACGTCAATAACCTCCGATAACCTTTGATAACCTCAACTGACTTTAACACAACATTACATAACACATTACATAACACACACACACACACTTACAATTATAATACACCATTACATAATCATACATACACCTTCCATTATAACACACCTATAACACCTCACCCAACCCACACCTACCGTTCCGGACCGCCGCGCCACGCGCCTCTACACTCACCTATACATCTCAACTCCTTGACTCCTCATACTGCCCATCTAACATGCTAAAATAATATATTTGCACGCGCTGTTTTTAAACGCCCAGTTCCCCTCTACTATTACGACGTTTAATCTAAGGCTACAAAACATAAGATCACTTTCCCTCACTTTGCAACTTCTTTGTAAGAGAATCAGAATGTAATGGCTTGACCAATTGATATGAAATTTGGCCAACAGCTAAAGAATACTGAGCACAATGTTTAGGTAAAAAATATTTGCAAATTTCCTTCTGGATTTTATTTTACGGGTCACGCAATTTCTCTTGTTATTTTAATGTAAGTTGAAAGAAAAATTATATTGGGTTTAAGACATATGGGTTTATCTCGTTTCATTTAAATAAGATAAACATATGTTAATTGTTTGTAACTGTTTTGTTTACATTTCAATGTTTACTTTCATCCTAGGTTAAAGTTGGAATGTAACAGTTTATCAATGGAAGTAACAGTTTTGCTATATTTGTTTTGAGAAATGTTGATTGCACGGGTACATCTCGCTATGCGCATTTACAAAGTACAAGCAAGTGGTCAGGATGGCCAGTTTCA